CCACGATCCCCAAGGGGGGAGGCGAAGCTCTGAGTTTTTGTCTGCTGCTCACGTACTGATCCCACGATCCCCGAGTGGGGAGGCGAAGCCCTGTCCCCCTTTTCGCTGCTCAGTTTCGGATCTAACGCTTCCCAAGTGGGGAGGCGAAGTGCTGCCAAACTCTGCACTCGCGGCTCAGGACTTAAATCACACGTTCCCTAGGTGGGGAGGCGAAGCCCAGCCAGTCCCCCAGGGACAGCAACCACATCAGATCTGACAGCCACGAGGCCCAACCGTGGAAACAAAGCTCCAATCATAGTCCCTCCACCAGACCGCTAATCAGCACTATCTCATCATGTCGATCACCCAGGTCCCAACCCCAGGGTCAACCAGCCCCATTGACACAAGCACTACTCCTGGCTCAGCCACAGGCCCAACCTCAGGCTCAGCCACAGGCCCAGCCTCAGGCTCAGCCACAGGCCCAGCCTCAGGCTCAGCCCCAGGCTCAACTTCCGGTCCAGCCTCAGGCTCAGCCTCAAGCTCAGCCTCGGGCTCATCCTCAACATCGGATTCGAGCGCAGGCTCAAGGAGGTCTCGTTTCCAAAACGAACAGGACCCAAGCCAGGAAGTTCTCAACATGATGATCAGAGAGACAAGAATCAAACCGGTCATCGCCATTGAAATCGTGAAAATTAGCAAGGAAGAAGAAGAGGAAGTTGAAGTTTGGGAATACCCAAAAGAACATCTCCCAGTCCTTGATGAATTTTACGAGACCCACGCTGTTGTCTGTTCCTTTCCCGCAAAGCTGAAGCATCTTCCGCCCACGGAAAAAAGGAAAAGAGTACGGGAAGCCCTACAAAACATCGAAAGTTTGAGAAACTCCGAACCCAAAGTGGCATATCAACAAAGAGGAAGGAATGCAATTACTGTGCTCTGCGCAGACCCAGCTTATGCCTCATTCCTGATATCAACTCAGGCCCTCTATTGCGAGGGATCAGTGGTATCGATCTCCAAATGGAGACCCAACAGATCTGCGCCGCAGGGGTCAGCAAGACACAGGCAATCACTGATGATCAAACACTTCTGGATTCAGTTCGACAATCTTTCAGATGGCGTACACGGCATGGTAGAAGAAAGACTGAAAGAGACATACCCCCAATGCCCCCTGGTCAAGTGGGTGTCCTCTGCGCCCGGTTTTCTAACCCCAAGCATCAACTCGAGGATTGCATGTGTGGAGCTCAAAGCAAGCAACCCGCCTGAGCTCCCAGACAAATGGTTCTTCAGAATGGGCCATTAAATTCAAACAGTGTACATCTCCACGAAAGCAAACCCCATGTGCTTCAGATGCAGAATCAAAGGGCACATGGGAAATGATCCCCTTTGCCCCCTGAACAACAGAAAAGGGGACGGGAAAAGACTGCACCCTTCAATGCTGGTGGAAGCCGAAGCATTGAAGGGCATCTGGATCATCAACGATCCAGCATACGCGGGTTGGGTCTTTGATGATCTGAAAGAAACCCCAGCGTGGATATGGACCCTGTCAGAAGCCGAACCAGCATGCAAACCGGATGTGTTCCCTCCTCATGGAAGCAGATGGCAAGCAGGCGGGGGGAAAAGGAACGACAAGTCAATGCATAGGTACGATAATGTCACACTTGGAAACGCTGCTCATCTTGAACAGACAATGCACAAAAATCAGATCCTCAGCGAAGTCCACAGCATTGGAAGGGAAGCAGAAAAATCATACCTCGAAATTCTGCAGCACAGAGGGGCTCTGGAAACAAAGAACAGCGACAGGTACAACAAAGGAAATTCAGGCCAATCGAAAAGAAAACTCAGAGGCGATGAAGAAGAAGTCAAAGGATCAGACAAACCACCGTCTATGAAAAAGTACAGGGAAGGGAAAGGGTCATCAGGCGACAAGTCCAGCGACATGCAGCTCGACACATCCCTGCCCACAAGGACAGTAGAGGACAACCAGGACACGGACATGGAAGACGACTCTTCCAATTCTATGGAGTGGCTTGACGAGTACATCAGCTCACTGAAATCACGTCGAGACCTGGACATGGAAATCCGACTGGCCCACGCCAGGCACATCAGCAGCCTCCAAAAGACTGCAAGCTCAGACATTCTGACCGGATTTCCAACTTCCCCAAATCCTTACGATGCACTGCAAGGTGAGAATACCTTCTTAGAATTCCTTGCTCTACAATACGTAGACAAGAATGAAGAAGGGATGGAGATCACGGGGAGCACCTCTTACACAAAACCAACTGAATGGCCAATCTCTTACCTTTGCAATGACAAGGAAAAGTCTCAGCAGGAGATTGACACCACCACGGGGACAAAAGGACAAGGCGAACAAGCATCAGAGGAAGACAAAATGAAAGCACTCGCCAAAGATCTGATCGGCCAAACCAGCAACCAGAAGAAGGAGAAGAGGAGACAAATTGCCATTCTCGAGAGGCAAACAAGACACCTGGAAGAACAAAACCAGGAATTAGGAAAAGTCTCCCGCTCCCTGAACAGAATTGCTGATGAAAGCCCATCAGATCTGGCTGTAACAACCAAGATTGACACCATCTCTTTCTCCCCTGCCACTCCAATCGTGCCCGTCCGATTCAACATAGAAAAAAGTGAATGGCAGATTGCAGTCCGACCTTCTCTGACCATGGTCACAACACAAGAGACCGAGAAGATACCTCATTTCATCAGAGCCAACATTTTAGATCAGAGTCCTTTGCTCATCCACAAGTTCTGGCAAGACAAGAGTTTGGACGTGGTATGGAAAGATGACAATGGAGCATCTCACTACAGGGACTTGAGCCCAATCATGGCGATCTACGACCAGCAGACCATCCTGAAGGACGACTTACAATGGAAACCTTGGGAGCTGATCTGCGAAATCCCATATCATCTCCTGGGTCACAAAGACGAGGTGGACARAATTGCATACAGCATGGMTGCCTTCATCAGACAGRAATGGCTGGGCAGCAGCGAGGCGGAACTGTTGGAGAAAACAAAGAGGGAAAGGGAGAAGAGGGAGGAGAGTAGAACCGCTGCCACTACCTCCTAATCACATGACCAGCCCCTACTTGAGGACAACCATCCATCAGTACAATGGAAATCACACCGGATGGTTCCCCAAATAGAGGGGCTGGCCGCAGTCCAAAGAGACTCAAGCCCACCACAGTAGCTGATATTATAAAAGAAAGCAGGAAACAACCAGAACTAACCATCGCGTCATGGAACATCAATGGACTCGCCTCAGTTCTCGACAATCCAATCAAATGGAGGAATCTGACAGAAACCATCAAATGGTTTGGACATAACCCCCCAGACATAACATGCCTACAAGAAACTCACCTAACCAGCAGCGAGGAACACAAAAGAATCCAAAATGCAGTCCTGAGGAAACTGCGTTTTGTTAAATCTGCAATCTGGGCTAACGCGGCACCGAATGGCTCGGCAGGGACAGTAATTCTTTTCCATCAAAACTCTCCCGCAAGCAATCACATAACAATTCAAGCCACAAGCCAGGACAATACAGCAGGCAGGTGGGTTAAAGCCGATATCAAACTCAAAGAGGAAGATATAGCCATCCTAGGGATATATGGACCGAACAACACACAAGAAAAAAACCCCTTCCTTCTCTCCTTGGAGCATCTAATACCTACCCACACACACACCATCTTAATGGGGGATTGGAATTCTGTAGCAGATCCTTCCCTTGACAGGATTTCCAACTCGCAAGATACCCTACCACAGTCCAACAACATAGACCTTGGAGACTTCATCATAAGGAAAAACCTATTAGATCCTTACCGCCTCCTAGCACCAAACTCAAAACGCTTCACCTGCGTCAGAAAAACCTCCCACGGAAGAACCTCCTTCTCAAGAATCGACTTCTTTCTTATCTCGGAATCCCTCTCAGGCGCCATACTAGATTGCAAAATAAATGACAACCCATACTACAAAGGCCTAGACCACAAAGCAATCACACTCTCCCTCAGGCTCACCAAAACGGGCTACAC